AAATATTCCTGCTCATATAATTCAAAGTCTTCTGGCTTGACACAAGTTGGCTTCTTTTCTTTTGGCTGTTCTTGCTCATAAGAAGTATCAAGAACAATTTTCTTTCCTTTCTAATATAAAGTATATTGGCAAGTTTTCCAGCTATAATTTGCTTCTACTTTATTAGACCAATCATTTCCAAGCAAGATAGAATATGAAGTGGCAGGCACTACTTCAACATCTAAGGGGATTAGTCGACCTTGAATTCTAATAGGCAAATTTCTGATAATTCCTAGAGGTCTGGAAGTAGCACCAGTAGCAGCAACAATAAGACTCTTAGATGGCTCCTCAATTTTTAGTCCAAGTTCTTTTACAGTCTGGTGTGAGATCATACTGACAGAGGCTCCACTGTCAATAATAGCAGGATAGGTTCGATCCTGGATATCGATATAGCATTTACAGTAACAGAAGTAATAGTATTAATAGGCTGGGGTTTGGTATTTTCTCGGTTGGTTTCAGTAACGAAATGAAATAAAATTCTAAACCCAAACCCTAACTAAACCTTACCTATTAACAAAGTCGTGTAATGCATCAAAGATGAAGCCAAGTGTTTACTGAAAACGGCTTTACTAGCAAACAAAAAGAAAACCTAAAGTGGCATATCCAATAACAATACAAATTCCCACCAGAAATCCGGCACCAGCAACGATGAAAACGACAAAGCCAAAATAAAAATGCCAAACCAAAGGGACCAAATGCGGTGGACGACGATACTCAACAATAACTTCACAATTAACCTGAATAGTATAAACTGTCGTCTAAAAAAAAAAAAATTAGTAACTATATAGTATCATCGGGTTAAACAAAAAGCAAAAAAAAAAAATCAAACTGATTTGATGCAATTGATAATCACTATTTATACCCTGTGATCAGGGGTGCACCACGATGCATGATGTACCAAATTATAAAACCCTATTCATTATTATATATATTATTAGTTAGTTTATTCTTAGTTATATTTAGTATATTCTTATATTGTATATTATTATA